TCTGCTTAATATAATGTGAAGTTATATTGTTAAGTACATACACATTTAGAATTGGCCCTTTTTCCATTATATAATGATGCCTTTATCCCTGATTGTACTCCTTTATTCTGAAGTCTACTTGGTCTGGTATTTATTACAGCCATTCCAAAGCTGGGTGTAACTCAGTGGTATTATGCTTAGCTGTATAAGGCCATGGACTCAAATCTCCAAAACCAAAATAAAAAACAAAGCCATTCCACCTTTCTTTTTGTTTGCATGACATATATTTTTCTTTCTAGTTTTTCGAAAGCTTTAGAGTTGTGCAGCCACAACTAGATTTTTAGAACTTTTCTCTGTGTGGCCAGGGGTGCTAGGGCTCAAACCCAGGGCCTTCCTCATGCTTGGCAATGTTCTACCACTGAGCTATAACCCTCAGCCCTAGAATATTCTTAATACCCAATCCTTAATAGTCATTCCCCATTCCTAGTCTCCTAAGTTCTAGATAATTGCTAATCTGCTCTTTGTCTATGGATTTGTCTGTTCTAGACATTTCACATAAATGGAATCCTGTAATACATAGTCTTTAGCAACTGGCTTTTATTTAGCATATTTTCAAGGATCATCATAGATTAACATAGTTGTGGCATGTATTAATTAATTTCTTTTGATTTCTGATTGATATTTTATGGATGTACTACATTTTGTGTATCCATTAGTGGGCATTTGGGTTGTTTCTACTTTTCGGATATTATGAAATAATGCTTCTATGAATATTTGTGCTACAGGTTTTTAAATGGCTTTCCTTTTATTTGGGTCTTTATGTTTTAAATGGGTTTCTTCTGTAGAGCAAATAGTTGAGTCTTGTTTTTTCCTTATCTCAAAATATGTCTCTTTTTTTGGTATGTTTAGACCATTTAATAGAATTATGAATAGTATTGGATTTAGGTCTACCATTTTCTTATTCATTTTGTTTGTTTCCTCTATAGATTGTTTCCTACTTCTTTTGGATTATTAGTATTTAATTTTAATTTACTTTATTGACCTTTTGTCTGCTACTACTACTATTTATTTATTTATTTATTTATTTTGGTACTGGGGATAGAACCATGGAGCCACATAAATTTTTTTAAATTAAAAATAAAAATATCTATTTTTTTTATGTACTAGGGATTGAACTCAGGGATGCTTAACTACTGAGCCACCCCTAACCCTTTTTATTTTATTTTGAAAAGGTCTTGCTAAGTTGCTTAGGGTCTTGCTTAGTTGCTAAGGCTGGTTTGAACTTGAGATCTTCTTGCCTCAGTCTCCCAAACTACTGGGTTTTATCACTGTCCCTGGCTCAGCCTTACTTAAAAAAATACTTTTCTCCTTTTTCTTTTTGAATTTCTGTTCCAAAAATTTTGATTTTACACACACACCACCCCATCAGTACTGGGGATTGAATCGAGGGCTTCATGCATGCTAGGCAATAGGTCTACCACCAAGCTACATTCCATCCCCTTGCCAGGCAATTGCTCTGTCACTGAGCTACACCACCAGCCTTTTTTATATTTTTAAAAGTTTTGAGACACAGGGTTTCACTAAATTATCTGGGATGCCCACCAACTTGCAATCCTCTTGCCTCTTCTGAGTATCAGTCTTTTTATTACCTTTGTTTTAATTTTTGCAATATTGGGGATTGAATCCAGGGTGCTCTACAACTGAGTTATATCCCCAGCCTGAAACAGGACCTCACTAAATTGCCAAAGTTTGCCTCAAACTTGTGATCTTCTCAGCCTCTTGAGTAGTTGGAATTACTGTCATGTGCCACCACATCCTGTTCTTTTATAGTTTCTGTTTTAAAAATTTTATGTTTTCATTTATTTCAAATGTTCAACTCATGGAGCATAGCTGTAATACTGCTTTAAATTTTCTGAAAACACCCAACATGTGGGTCATCTCCATGTTGGTTATTATTTGTCTTTTCCTTTGAGAACTGGCCACAATTTCCTGGTTCTTCATGTGTCACATAATTATGGATTGTGTCCCAGACATTTATTCTGATACTGTGTTATGAGTCCTGTTGATTGATATTCTCTGGAGAATTTTTGTTTTTGTCTTAGTAGAAAACCAAACTTCAGGTTTCAAAAGTTCTTTCTCACTTTATGTCAATGGTGGTTGAGATGTCAGTTCAGTTTTCAAGACCTTTGTTAGGGTGTTTTTGTTCTATCCCATGTCCTGCTCAGGGGTTACTGTAATGCTCAGGGACTAGTGGGTAGTAGTTTATATTATAGTTCAGTTCTCAGAGCATTTTCTGTGCATTCGTAGAGTGAGCCCAGGGCTTGTACCAATTCATGTACTGAGTTAGGAGATCCCCTTCTTTTGCTTATTCCTCTTCAGAATTTTTCCTGTGCTTTTTGGTCCTCAGACTCCCTTTTTCTCACTCTTCTACCTAGAAAAATGGCATTTTTCTTAGGAGTTTTAGATTACTACACCATCATTGCGACAGTTCTAAACCATAAGAGAAAATGGAAGAAAACAAAACGGGAAAAAACTCTGCTTAAATTATTTAAGTTTTAAACTCCTTTCCATAATCTACTTGCTTTTGTTTACTTTTTGGAATCCTCAGTTAGTTGCTCTTTTTCTGTGTTGTCTAGAGTTTTCATCCTAATCAGTGTGAAAGAGAGAGGCTATAGTGACCTTATTTCATCCCAGTCAGCACTTGCAAGTTCTTCTTTATATTTGTTCGTTTACCTTTCTGATAATACTTAAATGGCAGCAGCACAGGATATTTAGTTTTCAAACTTCTACCAGCTTTAGTAAAGTAAATTTTAAAAATTGTTATAATAGGGCTGGGAATATAGCTCAGTTGGTAGAGTGCTTGCCTCACATGCACAAGGCCCTGGATTCAATCCCCAGCACCACAAAAACAAAAACAAAAAAAGTTATAATAAAAATTTGATGGGAAACTTTATGACTTTTATTTATCTTAGTCACCCTATTCTGATCCTGATCAACCTATAATGATGATTTTCAGAGTATTTTTAATTGGTCAAACTTAGAATTTTAATTTTTTTTTTTACTAATTTTCACAGTGCTGGGGACTGAACCCAGGTCCTTGCACATACTAGGCAAGTGCTCTACCACTGAACTATATTCTCTACCTCTTTTTATGTTAAGACAGGATTTTGCTAAGTTGCCTGGCCCTTTTAATCCTCTTGCTTTAGCCTCTTGAGCAGCTGAAATTACAAGTGATTGCCACCACACCTGGATCAAACGTGGACTTTTTTGTGGAGTTCCCCCCCCCCCCATACCAGGGACACTTAACTGGACCACATCCCCAGCCCTTTTTTGTATTTTATTTAGAAACAGTTCTCGCTGAGTTGCTTAGGGCCTTGCTAAGTTGCTGAGGCTGACTTTGAACTCTTGATCCTCCTGCTTCAGCCTCCCAAGTCACTAGGATTTCAAAAAAACATGGACTTTTAAAAGACCTAAATCATTCTAGCCAAGTGATCCTTTGATCTCAAGGGACTTCTCTTTATTCCTAAGAGTTTGGAGTAGATTTTTTAAAAATCTTCTTTTGATTCTATGATAGTGGAGTATTTTCCTTGATTTGGGAAAGAATAGGCGTACTTTATCTTGTAGCTAAGCTGATAATTAAAGATTCCATGTGAAATTTTTCTGTTTTTCTCCTAGCTCCAAGCCAGAACAGAGGACTCCAAACTCTAGGAATTTGTTTGGAGTATTTCTATATTTCTTACCCCATATTCTGTTCTTTTCCTTTGTTTGTTTTAGCAAATTAGAAATTTTGAGTCTAGTGGATAGTGGTTACATCTACTAAAAGATAATTTCTCTTACTTTAGGCAATTCCAAGCTCGAGTATCACGACAAACTCTTTTAGCACTTGAGAAAGAAGAGGAGGAGGAAGTTTTGGGACCTTCAGTACCACAACGAAGTACACTAGCTGAACTCAAAAGCAAAGGGAAAAAGACAGCAAGAGCTCCAATCAACCGTGTAGGAGGTGCTCTCAAGGGTAAGTTTGTTAAGTGTTATTTTGGAAAACCTTTAGTCTCTTGTGGTAGGTAAATTAAGTAAGAAGATAATGCATAATTATATACATGCACACTGTCCTAGTTTTTCTGATTACGAGGTAGCAAATACAAGGAAGTCAAAGGAGAGCTAATATTATAATGTTCAATAAAATAAATAGAAGCATTTTTGTGTATTAGTTAATAAAGTCCTGATATTTACAGAGCATCATTTTCTGAGTAAGAGTTATTAGTTGAAAGAAGTAGTAATATAGCAAACGTTGTCAAAGTAAAGCCTACGTGCACCGAAACTTCAGAGAATAATATTTACATCATTAAGAATCCTTTCTTTTTAGACTTTTAGGCCAAAATTGAATACTTTTTATATACCCAAGATGATCAGCAAGTTTTTTTTTCCTTTTTAATCAACAATGACTTTTTTAAAAGTCACAGCAAAATTGACCAGAAAGTACTGAAAGTAAGCTTTCATAAACCAAATTTAAAATAGTTAAATATGTAGGCCAGACTATTATTTGGTCCTTAATCCCATTCCTGATATTAATTTATTAATAATCAGGATGTCGGTCAGAGATCCTAGAATTAGGATATAGAGCGTGTGTAGTGCCAAAATATATTTCGTCAGATAATGGTGAAATATAATGTGCCAATAAAAAAACATTGGGGGGGGGATGATCATGGTGAAGCTTAAAATAATAACTAGTCTTACAATAGCAATCTCAAATAAATGAGCTGCATTTGTGTCCTCTAGTAAATCTTGGCTGATTATTACTGAGAGAAAATGGAGAGCTGAAAAATGAAGAATTGGAATAGTTTTCTTTTGGAGTACCAAGAATAGTTTTTGAAAACTAGACAGTGTTAAAATGATGCCTCAGGAAAATGTAGAATTTCTTTCTTTTTTTTTTTTGTACTATAAGTAAAAGATTAGAAGTTGTAGGAAGGAGGAGAAAATAGGGCAATGATAAGTAACAAAAACAGAGTGGATAAAACTGTTACTAATTCAATTTATTAAGTTTTTTCAAAATAATTGATTTTTTAGCCAGACATGGTGGCGAACACCTGTAATACCACCTACCTGGGAGGCTGAGACAGGAAGATTGCAAGTTCAGATCTAGCCTTAGCAACTTAGTGAAGGCTTCCAGCAGCAACTCAGACCCTGTCTCAAAACATAAAAAGGATTGGGGATATGGCTCAGTTTCTAAGCACCCTTGGGTTCAATCACCCCTGGGATTGAACCCAGGGGTACTTTATTACTGAGATACAGTAATCCTAGCCCTTTTTTAAAGTTTTATTTTGAGATAGGGTCTTGCTAAGTTTCCCAGATTGGCCTTGAATTTACAATACCTCCTGACTCAGCCTCCAAAATTGTTGGGATAATAGACTTATGTCACTGCACCTGGCTAAAATAATTACTTTTTTAAAAAAATCTTCTTTTGATTCTATGATAGTGTAGAGTATTTTCCTTGATTTGGGAAAGAATAGGTATACCTACCTTATCTTGTAGCTAAGCTGATATTTAAAAATTCTTTGTGAAGTTTTTCTGTTTTTCACCTAGCTCCAAGCCAGAACAGAGGATTCCAAATTCCAGTTCCTCAGCAGATGCAAAATAATCGTAGAATTACTGTTTTTGATGAAAATGCTGATCAGGCTTCTAGAGCAGAGTTGTTTAAGCCCATGATCCAGCCATGGATGGCACCACCTGTCCCCAGAGCTAAAGAGAATGAACTACATGCAGGCCCTTGGAACACAGACAGGCCCTTGGAATACAGGGTAAGGACTCATAGATCAAATGTATATGCTAACATAACATAGACTTCAGGTTTAGAATAGAGGAATATTTTTAGCATCTCTTAATTCCTCTTGAATATTTAAGTAGAATCTGCATATTTTTTTTGGCAGAATGTAAAAAGTATGGTAATTTTAGTTTTTTTTTTTTTTTATCTCCAGCCTCATGGCAATATAGCTTCTGTGACAACTGTACCCCCTGTTGTTCCCAGTTTTACTCCATATGTGGAAGAGACTGCACAACAGCCAGTTATGTGAGTTTGGTTTCCAAGATACTTTGAAGTGGAAATGATTAAGAGTGGGCAGAGACACCTATCCTAGTTCAAATCCTCAGCATTTTCTTTGTGAAAATGAAAATAGTCAGACAAAGTTTTGTGTATACCTTTTGTTTATACTACTTTGAATATATTAGGGCTAAAAAACTCTTAGTAATATTTTTATTAGGGTATAAACATCAGGTTAGTTTGTTTACATTGTTATAATGGGGGTAATCACTGTTATTTTAGTGAGATATTATTTGTTATTGATTGTAATTGGAAGTTGTGGTAATTATACTTTTTATCCTGCTTTTTCCTTTTGCATATATTTTTTTCCCTTCTTCTTAACCCTTAGCATTTCTTTTGTAAGAAGAAACATGATAGGTGGTGGATATAATCAAGTCAGTCTAAGATCTAGTCCAGTACTTAGCATTGTTGAATCCTGATGCTAGGTTCAATTCTGTGTGAAAGGTTCCTTATAACTAATTTATAATTGCCATTTCATACTAGGTACCGTAGAAATGCAGAAATAAGTTTTGACGCATATTCTGCCTAATGAAGAGTCATGATACAGGAAACAATTTTTAAGAAATTCATGTGAGCCTTTATAGAAATTGATGACATACATTTTTGGATGTTTAATTTTTCTAATGTTTCAAGTTACTTTGTAGAGACATGAATTATGTCTGTAAGACTGGAAGACCCCGTACCACATGACACAGATCACAAAAGAGGTTTCCGCTTTATTACAAAAGGCTGTGTGTTTATATAGGTCTAAGGAGATGTCGCAGGGCTGAGGTGGATAACAGGTCGCCCGTTTATTGGCAAGCTCTTCCAGATGTCAGTTCTAGAGCCCAAGAAGTTAATTCTAATTGGGGCTAAGGAACGTTTTGCGCCAGTGAAAGAAACAAAGAGGAGAAAGAGGGTCGTTAGACGCCATGCTGGGGTTTTTCTCTGGGGTGCTGCTAACTTTATATGTTTTCCCAACAATGTCAAAGTTAATAATGGTATAGAAAATGTTAAACTTTATTTAAATTATTTTTCTTTGGTGTCTTATTGGACCTAACTACATGGCTTTTCTTTTTCACTAGGTTGTGTGTGTGGTTTTTGTGTGTGTGTGTGTGTGGTGCTGGGGATCACACTCAGGTTCTTGTGCATACTAGTTAACCATTTTGCCACTGAGCTGCATACAGCCCCCCCTTTTTTTAATATTTTTTTTTAATTGTAGATGGACACAATACCTTTTTTATTTATTTATTTTTATGTGGTGCTGGGGATCAAACTCAGCGCCTCATTCATGCTAGGCAAGCGCCCTATCACTGAGCCACAGCCTGGCCCTTTTTTTGAAATATATTTTGAGATAGGTTCTTGCACCAGATTAGCCTGAAATTTTTGATCCTCCTGCCTCAGCCTCCCAAGTAGCTGGGATTATAGATGTATACCATCATGCCCATTTATCTTTAAGTAAGTGTGTGTGTGTGTGTGTGTGTGTGTGTGTGTGTGT